AATGTCTTACACCTCTAGTGTCATCCAGACATAGGCATTCTACATACGTTAAAAAAATGTGAATTTTACATAATTTTCTCCTGACAAATAGTGTCTGGTTTTAGATTTTCTGCCATCACTTAACAATAAACATTTGGAAAAACAAAAACTGTCTCCTTAGAATAAGGTCTGTGCTTGTGAATCTGACTGTACAAGGTTTCATCAGCAAAAACACATCCTGACATTTACTTTATACTCAAATTTCAAAAAGTGAAAGGCTCTCTGTTATATATACAACCTTCTTCAACATTTAAGCGATGATGTATTAGCGCACTCCGTCAGTTAATTCCTTTAGCTAAGCAACTGTTCCTCCTGGCAGTTCCTGGGTGTAAATCTCCATCTAGTAAACACTACTGCTGTAACTATGCCAAGTCTGAACTGAAGAGGAGCCGGAGCAATAGCTTCCTGTTCATCAAACCCAGCTTGCAGTGGCAAAAGGAATTACTGAAGGAACTGGAAGATAATAAAACCGTAACTTTGCAGTGCTCATGTTTGACCGTGTGCCAGTGTGGGTGATTGGCAGGTTTTCTGCATCTGGGGTAATAAAACTATGATCTGGTTTGAATCATGTAGGTACTTGTAGTTATTTATCAGTTTGCATGGTGAAAAAAAAAAAAGAAAAAGCGGTGCTACCATTCTTTAACCCTGATCGAATGTATTTTAATTAAGCTGCCTTTGAATCCTACGCTCACCGAAGCATAGAGTAGATGCTCAGTGGATTAATCTGAAGTCTGCATTGTATCTATTAGACTATTGCTTGGCCTCACATCTCCACTGGTTTGATAGACTATGAAATTTTCTCTGAACGTCAAGGCAGGATCAGTTGTTCTCTGCCACTGCTGCCTGTTTAGTTCCACTAGCAGCAAAAAGCAGCTCCTTTAATATCAGTAACTTTTCTATACATGAATAATTTCCCTTGACTTGTCTCAGATTTTTTAAAAAAAAAGGTCTTCACATGAGGCTGAGTGCAGGAGGAATCTCTGAAAGGGGGAGCAACAAAGAATAAGTCCCTCCTCAAGATAAACAGACATGCAGCAGAACACATATATGGTGCAGAAAGAAAAAGCAGGTGTTCAAATTGAACAGAGAATTCCTTATGACCAAATAATTCACAAACTGTCTGAGATTTTGACCAGTAAATCTCACAATTTTTCAGAGTTGAGTCTCTCTTTTTCAAAGCCTTGGCTGTTGTTTATTAAGTGAAAGAAGTGAGCGCCCTCTTTTGGAAAGGGCAGGGACTGTATCTCTGCGTCTGCGTATGAATGATTCACCAGAGACTTGCAAAGAGAATGGGTTGCCGTAGCAACAGCAGATAGTAAAAGTGCAACCTCTTGAGTACGACCCTACACAGATATGTTTAATTGTGTAAGGCCTACTCTCGTCCTCATGTGGCAAAAGAGAAGCCGGAAGGGATGAAACAGAAGGCAGGATTTAGTTATATTTTTATTAATTTATTTTTAATTTCAAGTTTGTCTTAGCAAAATGTGTCACTGCATTAACATAAAACTCCCTATATACATTTAACAAGGTCTGTTATGATTAGGTTGATACGTGGGTGGGATTACATCTGTCAGGGATAAAATATCTCTTCCTTTAAACCTTGGTTTTAACAGTCTCTTTCCCGCAAGCCTCAGAAAAAGTGAAATCAATAGATCTAAGAAAACAAGTCAATTAATTGATTTGTTGAACAGCAGAAAAGTAATCTGCAACTTTTTTCATAATCAGGCACCAAAACTCCATCAAACAGCTCGCTACTGTAAGTATTTGCTCCTTTTGTTTGTTTTACATTTTGGGGTTCTGGACTGTTTAAAAGGCAAAATATGACATTTAAAGGCATCACTGTGGACTCTGAGAGAAAAATAATGAACACGTTTGGCTATTGTATGACATTTCATCAGCCAGGGAGGTCATCAATTAATTAATAAAACAACTGGCAGATCAAAAGGATATTATAAAATAACCATTAGTCGTATCTGCAGAAATCAATTACTTTTGTGAACCTGCTTTGCCACGGGCAGCTTTGGAAAACGGGGTTGGATGTGTACAATGTGTTTTTTGTAGAGAAAAAAGGATTTCGCAAAATATCGTATGCTCTTTGTAGCCCAACACTTCTGTATTACAGAATGTTTTCACAGCCCTCTAATAACCGTGTCCCAGCAGTAAGGCCACGGCAGTGCTCAATGTGTATAATTGCAGTAAGTGAAACAGTTTTTTTCTTACAACTAACAATGTATAAAATATAAATCCTGACTCCTGCGCCCAAAAAAAAAAAAAAAAATTACTACTTTTATCGCCATTTTAGTTTAATTACATTTATGTTAATGACGCATATTTACTGCTCTCTGTTGGCCTGGGGCAACACATCTAATTACATTTTACTTTCTGGCATCTTGTAATGTATTTTAATATATAATCAGTCAATGTAGCTACACACAGGGGGTGGTGGACACAATATTATGAACACCTACTGACTGCGGCCATAATGCTGTCTCATGCAAGAGCTGTGCAATTAGTCCAGCTTGTAGAGGGTTTGCAATTAAAATTTTCAATATAGATGCAATAAATTATAAATATGATACAAAGGGAACCACGTATCAGATACTTATTGCTACTATTATTCATATATGCAGCCCTACGGAACACCACAAACTGCAGTCTAAGAAAGTTGAATCTCTGTGATGCACTGTCAACGAAAACCATGTTTTTTTTAAACTTTACAACTTACTCTGTTTTCATATTTAAGCTTGTTGTCAAATGGTTCATGTTTACAAATAATTTTTTAAAAAATGAAATAATACATAAGATTTCTGTAAAGAATATGACAAATATATTGATAAACTGTCTTCAGATTGGTGGTATAAAACACAGTGCAGCACTAGGTAATGTCTTTTTGTTTTTGAAAAGCAGAGATTTGCTTTTATAGAGAGCCATCTGAAATGTTGTGAGCCAAAGTTAAGATCCACTCCAAATGTCAACACCTGTGGGGAGAAACCTGGGAGGGAATATAAGTAAATAAGATAAGAAGAAATAGTATCGATCCCTGGTGGGAAATTGGATTGTTGCAGCAATAAAAGCAATTTGACTTTAAAAGAGAGAAATAGAAAACGGGATATTAAGATAAAATCGAGTATGAAAGAGGCAATAAAGTGGCACTAACATTTCAAACAATCAATAGAATAAACATGAATAATGGTTTTGTGTAAGAAATCATCATGCTGACAATTTGTGTATGTTCACTGGGCCGTGTGGTTTTGCCATGCCGGGCAATCCAAAGTAAATTTAATATTTGTAGGTTTTCTTGGTTTGTTTGCGTTTGTACAGATTTGTTTCTTATCAAACTGATATTGAACAGTTCTGATCTATGTCTGCTTATCTGCTCTGAAGGCATTAGTCAAGTCAGTGTGCAGCAACAGTGAGCTCTCTTAAGCATTCTGAAGTCTAAAGGACAAACTCTCTGCAAAACTGCACCTTTGTTCTTCGTCCACACGACGTTAAAGTGCTGCTAAGTCAAATCTGCTGGTGTATCAGTGGTTCATTTATATAGTAGCTGAGATGTTGAGCGAAAGTGACGCGAAGAAAGAACACCTTTTTTTAGCTAAGCAGCAGAGTTAGTCCATGTTTGCTATATGTGCAGACCAAATGCTTGAGTTTAAAAATCTCTTCACATTAAACACATGTAAGGAACTAAACAAGTTTGTCAGATTGTAAATCACATTTTTTTCCCTATTAATTCAATGTATATTATAGTGGCTTACAAGAACAAATGAATTCTTAAAAGTTGTTGACCAAAACAGTAACAGTTTGTGATTCAGTTAAATCTAATCTAAATAATTAAAACAGTGTACTATTAATAAATCTTGCCATGACAGGATGCTTTGCTTTTTAGGTAAACAAGTACTCAAGCTATAACTGATGCAATGCTGAGAAGGTTAAGATCTGTACCTTTTCAGTGAAACAAAAAGAAAAGACAAAATTTAGAAATGTCTCGTTGGTGTAATCTTGATCTTGTTCTAGGCACATGGGTGCTCTTCCTTGTCGTGCATTTTTGCTTTTGTGTGCGTACATGCAGTGGTCACCTTATAAGTTCAGAGACTTTACACTATTAAACGTTTATTGAGTATTTTTAAAATTTGTCTCATATTTTAAGATGCATCTGAGTTACTAAAATTCTAAATTGTCCATTTAGCCTATAAGTGATGCATTCACAGAGCTGAAAACTAACATGACAGTACATTTTACCAAAAAAAAAAAAAAAGGTATTAATACCTGTATCAATATAGGTGATTTTGATCCTGGTAATATTTAGTATCAGATCTGAAGTGCATACCATTAGTCAATGTGATTTAACAGAAAAGTAATTAGCAACTTTTTTATAATCAATTAATCATTTCAGGTAGTTTTTAAGCATAAAAATGAAAAATTCCTAATTCCCCTGGTCAACATATCAAATATATTAATAAAAAGCATCACTCCCTCACATTTTTTTTCTGGCATAATTGGGTGAAAATGAATGAAACGATTAATTTATCATAAATCTAGAGGCCAAAACACCGTTACAGTGGTATATAAAATAAATACCTGCATTAAATACAATGTCAGTTTTGTCAAGTTGACATTGTTGGGTCAGTTTTGAGGCTCACGCCGGCGCTGTCCGTTACCTGCAGTGCTGAAACTGATGAATTAACCTCGTGTCCTATTTTGTCATTTGCACAGTGTGGTGCGTTGATAACGTTACATTTTAATACTGAAAAAGAGAGCTCAAACTTAAATCACCTCAAACAAGTGGAAAAGCTTGTTGGAGCCAAAAGTACCAGTTTCCCTCGCCGGCTCACTCCAGTCAGAGCGTGGTGTTGCGTTTTCTCGCCGCTCTCAGTTACCCGAATTCTTCAATCCCCGGTAGGTACATTTCTTACGCTCGCCGAGCTGTTAAAGGTTAAAATACGTCGTGGGCGTAGCGGCTCCTTGTAATGGCGACCGTGCCGTAGATGTGCCTAGGTTAGTGAAAATGAAGCGAAGAAGAAGTTATTTCTTTTAAGTAAAACGCCGAGGTTCCCCGGAGGAGGACTTTGCGTCTATAACGGTCATCTTCATAAGTGGTAAACTTAGCTGTACTTTTGAACTTTTGCGCCCCCGAAATGATGAAGCTCAAGTCAAACCAAACCCGGACGTACGACGGGGATGGCTACAAGAAGCGGGCCGCCTGTCTGTGCTTCAGGAGTGAGACCGAGGAGGAGGTGAGTCCGGGGATGTTGCCGTCTGGAGGGCCAAGCTAGCGTTAGCAGCCGTAGGTGCGTTCAGTGTCTCTGTCTGTAAATCGATATATTATCAACATAGCTGTTGCTTTATGCCAGCTGGAAATGATGACTCACTCTTTTCTTAGCTTTTCGTGTTGTCTTCCGAGGGTTTGCATTAAACGTTAGTTTTCAGCCCGTACATAGCCAGGTGTTATGTAAGCCTCTTTAGCTGTGCAGATTGCAGCCGCTGGTTTTTATACCCTGCGTTACTTGGAGCCAACCTGTTAGCTGCATGCTAATGCTAACGTTAGCATGCTAACTAGCCGTGCTGCTACTGCTGCTGTGGGCAGCCGGCTCTCGGCCAGCGACCACAGCCTACAGTACTGGCTGTGTTGAGTGGTCACTTTATCACTGTGAGACGTCGGCTCGATAAAATTCAATGTTTAGTATTGAAGTGACAGTCTAATCCATTTATCTGCTGGCGTTACGGATAATTTGGCGAGCTAAGTAACGCTAAGTGTCTAGTGTTAGCGGTAATGCAACTAGTATTACTAGCCAAACATTGGACTGATTTGTAGCTGTTAGCTTGGTAACCTCAACCAAAAGATAACCCTGGTATTAATACCCGTTTTAGCTGAAAGTACATTCCTGCAATTTCACCACGTAGCTTGTTAACGTAGCTGTCAGTGCACTGCTCGCTACCTTCGAGCCACCTCCAACGAAAACCACTGAAATTAGCCTGCAGGAGGTTATTTGAGAGCATAAGTGATTTAAGAAGCTGGTATGCAGTCAACAGCAAAGCACAAAGATGTCATTGTCGTTGTAAACATTTTACTAGGGGGACAGCTGAGATGAGACATAACCAATTCCTCATTCTGGTGAAAGTAAAGGCCAGATTGTGAACAACATGGGTTGTTGATTACAGGAAACGCAGGAAAGCTGGAAACTTTTACCAGGGACTTTAGTTCACCTGATCGGCACTCAGCCAAGCCCCAGCTGCTCTGCAGCTGATTGTCAACACCCAGAACTTACCATACTTGTTCTAGTGATTCATACTGTAGTTATTGGGGGAAAATATTGTGAAGGTAGTTTAACTGCATTCACACGATATCCAGCTGGATCACTGCAGTGGCAGTGTTGACATTTTTCAGTGTTGTGGTTGACACACTTACTGAATATCTTGCTCAAGTGGTAATAGTTATGTAATATGAACTTGATATTTACAAGAAACATTTAGTTAGATGGTATTGCCTAACCAATCTTGAATGGGATACATTGCAGGTGTTGTTGGTGAGCAGTAGTCGACATCCTGATAAGTGGATAGTTCCTGGAGGGGGGATGGAGCCTGAGGAGGAGCCCAATGTTGCTGCAGCTCGAGAAGTGTGTGAAGAGGTTGGTTCTGTAATTATATTTTCATGATTATTATATCTTAATAAAGCCTATTTTGTGGGTTCTTTTTTACCTTCTATCTAACGGAGGTTGTCATTTAAGGAGCTCTATGTAGACTGTGTACTTGCAAACTTTGCTTGACACTATCTGAAACATGGGTGTGAAAGATGCCTTTCTAGACACCATCCATAGCCAGGAATATTGTTCTGAGAATGGACTTCCATTTGTAGCGTGGCAAATTAGTGCGAGTGTAGGCTCATAAGATGTATTGTATTACATTTCTAGTAAATCATGTCTGTATTTAACACTGGGCCTAATACCTTGTTCTCAAAATCCATTTTGTCAATGCAGTCATCCTGTTTGCATGGACAGAGAGAGCCTAGCAACGTGTAAGCTGGACCGTAGCATCATGTTACAAAGCAGTGTTTAGGTGTCAAAGGAGGTCACTCTGAGATTGGACATTGGCTGCCCAGTAGTTGCACTGCAGTACTATAGCTTTTTACAAATTTGACAGATGAAGAAGGACAATCAACTTTCATGGTTTCTAAGTTTCTGACAGGTCTATTTTTACAACAGCAGTCTCATTACAGAGGCATTTCAGCGAACATAAAATTGTGTATTTGTTGGTGTGTTAGGTAGCAATTAGTAAACAGTTGTGAAGCTCACTGGAAATCAATATCCTGCTTAAACCACCTACATCATCTCTTAAATGAGGTGTTCTTCCAGTGCTGTTCATCCCTTAACATTTTGATCAGAATGGACAGAGAGCATCAAAGACACTGAATCTCACCCAGCTGTCAGCTTTTGGTGGGCCACTGACCATATAAAGCCTATTCTCTGTATGTGATCCATCACACTGATGGATGTTGATATCATCTCTTATCCTGGCTCCGTGATACTTGGTGGCTGTGGTGGTGGTGGACGCTGAGGCTTGCCAGCACATTTCCACAGGGTCAAAAGCAATGTCACATCAGTGCTGAGGTTTGTTAAAAGTGCTAAAAGGCTATATTCAGAAAACATTGTGCTGACTTTGAGTGGCGCTCAATACATCACCACGTACTCTGGCGTTCTAAGCCTCTTATTGGGCGGTGGTGTAACAGGACATATCCTAATCCTGGTGAGCTTATTCTGATGACCATATGAGCGGTGAGTGATTGCTTATGCTTATTGGTTTGGAGCCTTGCCAGGTATGACAGTGAAGACGCAGTAGTCAGGAGCAGGCCAAAGGTTACCAAGGGTTCCTTTGTCTTATTTAACTGTTTTCTACCACAGCTTCTCCTTGTGTCCTAGTGATACATCCCAACCCTCCACCATGAAGACACAGGACAGCATTGCATAACTTGAAATGCAGCCTCAGTGCTGTACATCCTCTACCCGGGTGATGCCCAGTCTTCAGTTACACAAATGCCTGAGCTGCTAGACATTTTCCATCTCATAAAAACATACAGGTTGACTTTTGGCCTATTACTTAATCCCTGGCACATCTTTGGGGTTTCTAGTGGTGGGCCTGTTCTTTTCTATCTAGTTAAAGGCCTGAGAAGTGCAACACTGAGTCCATGGTACAGTACGTGGAGTCAACATTTATTTATAGACTGAAACTGGAACCTGAAGAAGAAGCTGCAGAGATGTCAGCAAGTGGCCTGGCTCTGGATTTCAACCTAACCTACTACTCACCTCTGGGAGTTAAGATATTGGAGATAGTTTTTATTAGAATGGGCGAAAAGGTAACAGGCACTGAGACATATTCAAGTTATCTTCTCTGAAGGAAAGGTTGTGACATTTGTATGGCCTTGGTTTTAGGATTGTGAGAAGGGTAAAAAAAAAAACCTAACAGCACAGGGGATATTCTATTGTTTGTTTCTGACCTTTTTACATGATTTTGCTTGACAATCAAAGGATTTTGTAAGAGAGGCTGTCAATATGTGACAGCAATAGTGGAACAAAGATGTTTAATGTGTTCTTCAGCTGTGTAATTCAGAGCTTCCACACGAAGTCGATGAATCAATCAACAGAAAATTATTCGCCAATTACTTCAGTAAATGAGTTGTTGGTAGTTATTGTTAAAGGCTCCAGCCTCACAAATGTGACAATTTGCTGCCTGTTTATATAAAATTTGAAGTTTGAATGTATTTGCGTCATTGTGTCTTTGTCAGACAAAGCAAGACATCTGAGAAGTGGTCTCCTGAAGATTGTTGTTCACTATTTTATGATGTCTTATAAACTAAACAATTACTGTATTAATCACAAATGTTTTAAATAATGTTAAATAACGTAAACAATCATTAGGTCTCACTTTGTAGTTTATAATGTAATGACATTTGTAGTTTGAGTTGTTTGGTTATCAAAGTTTAAAAACCTGATTTTCAACAAATTCCTTGAGAATCTTTACCCTTTTTATCAATAATTTAGACAGTCAAAGTCCTTTGTAACTAATTTGGCTACGCTAGACCACATTGCAATAAAGTGTGATATTAATTAAAGAATCCTGACACGCAGAACATGATCTCAGTCTTTGTATATGTTGCACTTGTGGGTTGTTTGGAGAACTGAACAACAACCCAGGAATACAAAGGAGCAAATTTGCAGAGGTAAACACAATCTTATGATGTAATGTAATCCACTGCTGCACAAACACAAACTACAGTTTCAAAATTACCATATAAATTTGATCAAATAAGCACCTTGTTGAAACTATCTCAACAATACACTGACATTCAAAGATATAGTGTTTATTGTTAGGCTATTAGAGTGAATGCATTACATTGTACAAGTGTTTTCTCTCTGTCACTTCATATTTATGAAAAGCACGTAATTGCCTGTTCGGACTGTGGAAGTATTTGATCACCATTTTATGATGTTATTCCTTTTTTCAGGCCGGTGTGAAGGGGACTTTAGGTCGCTTAGTTGGAGTATTTGAGGTGAGCTGCCGTCTGCTTGCGGTAGACTTTATTTATCTTCAAATGTCAACAAACTGTTTGCTGTGTTTGTGACTGAGAAGTGAAAATATGCAAATTTTAACTCTCCCACAGAACCAGGAGAGGAAACACAGAACATATGTGTATGTTCTTATCGTAACAGAGGTGCTGGAGGACTGGGAGGACTCGGTCAACATTGGTAAAGCTCTGTTTGTTTACTTGTCAAAATAAGGATCGTACGGACAAAGTTCTCAGGCAGTCACATGTTGGACTGTAGCTTTATTTTCTTCACAGGCCTTAGCGATATTACCGTTCCAGGATTTTAGTGTATGTTTGCTGGGGGAGATTATAACACCAGCTTTGTTCCTGCCCTTGTGATTTTTCACATCAGCTCTGTGTACAGTACTGATAATGAGTCAAAACCTATGCTAAAACAATGCTTTTTTTCATGTGTCGCTTCTCGTGTTAACTTTTCTCTACAATGCTTTCTTGTTCTGTCTACAGGGAGAAAAAGGGAATGGTTTAAAATAGACGATGCCATACAAGTGTTGCAGTGTCACAAGCCTGTGCAAGCCACCTACTTCGAGGCTCTCCAGGAGAGTTGCCTGACCAGTAACGGAACACCATTGGTGGCCACGATAGGTGGGGACCTCTCCCCTACCTACAGCATCAATCAGAGCTCCGTCTCGGGTATCAGATAACTAAAACCATAACTCTGACACCCCCAGGAGCTTTCGCCACCACTTGCGCTCTTACTTGTGTCATTTCTCTTCTCTTCTCTTCTCTTCTCTTCTCTTCTCTTCTCTTCTCTTCTCTTCTCTTTCTCCTTCTCGCTCTTCTTTCTCTTTTTTTGTCTCAATTACATGGTTTGCCTTGCCAACTCCTTTGTGCCAGAACCGTGGCACAGACTTGATGACAAGTGTTGGGTGAATAGTCTGAAACACTTTGTAAATGTAAATGTAATTTTTGACCCCTCTTTTTTTCTTTTTACTGACAACTGCATGAAGTGTCCCCTCGTCCCCTCATTCCCCTTCCTAAACGCGCCCTTAGCGTGGTGTTTATTGAATGCAAGAACTACTTTTTACTGTTGTAATGTAAAAGTGTATACTTAGTGCTTAAGCTGAAGGCTTTTGGTGGTCTTTTTAACGTTTCCTCCATTTTTTTTGTTTATTTTTCTGTGAATGAATGTGCCCATTAGTGTACTCCCTTCCCTGTTGTAAGGATAGGAAATATTGTCTGTATCTGAATGAACACAATTGTTGGAAGTGACTTGTCTTGCATGAGCACTGTTATGTTGTGTCTCACTCACTCGAGTGACCTGATGCTGACTGTGCAACAGACATTTGGTAAGGTCTTTGGCTTTTCTTCATTTTTCTCCTTACTGTAGTTGTTGATGTCTTTTTAATCAGAAGGATACGGCCCCTAAGTAGTCTTTCAATTTCAGTAGTCTTTCAATTTCAAGTGTCAACTGTGTTTCTCTTATTTGGGAAGCTAGCCAAGCACTACAGGTTTCACTCTCAGACAAAGCAAATACAGAATACTGTACAGAGAGTGAAAGAATGTCAACATACAATGTAAAATGAACCACCTTTTCCTCAGTGTCTTTACCTCCTTTTAATCCCTCTTTGTTTTCTTTTCTTTTTTTTTTTTTAAACTGCTTTCTTGTGACTGACTACAAAGTCTTCCTCCACATACTGAGAGGGTAGAAGTAGTAGACTTCAGAATCATGCATTTGTAATTTCAAAATGCAGCACATATCACTTAAGTTATTAAAACCCATTTCCATATTTTACTCCTCACATTCAGTTTGGTTAAAAGCAATTGTTTACATTGTGTTCGTAATATAGCACAGGTGACTTTAGCGGGCACTTTTCATTATGGTCATGATCTTTTTTTTTTTTTTTTTTTAACCCTTCGTTCTTTAGTATTTAATCTGCATCCCCAAAAACACTCAGAACACCTGCTTGACATTGAAAGTAATGGATCTATAATGCTGTCTTTGGCAAGATGCAGAACAAACAAGCCTTGTACAGTTTGAGACCTCGTTTTTAACATGTAAAATGCTTTTGGATACTAGTTTTATTTTCTTTTTTTTGTTTGTTTTATTTTTCTTTCTCTCTCTAACGTCTGGCAAAAGTCTCTTTAGCTGAGCTGCGTCACTTGGCCTCGATGTGGCGTGAGGCAGCTGGCTCAATACTGTGAAACTGGAGGCGCTGTAGATAGCATGTAAGAGGTTTTTATTGTAAATTGTTTATTTCTGTATAGATCAAAGGTGAGAGTACAAATGACAAAACACCTCTTACACATCTGTGAGTGCTACATGTCATTTCAACTAAGGCTGGAATAACTGATTGAACTTGTCGCGCTGGCTTTGAAGCTGTTGGGAATTTTTCTCCTGAGATAGAATACAGTACATCTGAGGCTAAAGAACAAGGAATGTGGCCGTGGTTGTGGGTGAGGTTAAAGAGCCTATTTATAATAGAATATCCTTAAATCCTTTTTTTGTTTTTTTGTTTTTTTTAGACCAAAACTAATTTGTAGCGGTAAGGGACTCCTGTTTTTTTTTCATCTATGGTGAAACTGTAAAGTGAAGTACAACTGTAATCTGAGTTTCTAAACCACTACTTTGTTAAGAAATTAGCAAGCCTGGAATCTTTTCAAGCTAGCAGCCGTGCCACTTGCTCTAGTCAGCGCGGTTTCCCATGGAGGGTTTCTTACAGCGGTCCGTTCCAGAAGCTCGGAAATATTACTGAGTGCTTTGGCTGTATTTAAACTTGTAATAACTTTTAGGTGCGTTGGGAAAAAGCTGCCAGCATAAAACTGGCAACTGTTTTTAATTTAAAAAGGGCTCATATGTTTGCAAAATGTTGCCTAGTTCCGCCAATACCAATATTCGCATTTCTGTCTGCGTCCACCAGATGAGTTTAAGGCAACGTTGTGCTCTCTTTTTAGTTCTCCTCCAGCTCTTGAGGGAAATTTCTGCTTGTTTCGTCTGTCTTAATGCTTAACTAGCATCAAATTTCATAGCTGATGAAAATACCTTCCTGCCATGGCTGCAAACTACGCTACAAGCGCAGCGAGAGTGAGACGTAGCTAGAGATCCAAAACAAGGAGCTAAAAGATGCTAAATACTGCATACTCAAAAGAAAAACCTCTTTTGCTTACAAGAAATCATGTAAACCATGATTATAGCCACTGTGTACACCTAAATTAGTAAATTCTTTACTTGATTGATTAAATTGAATTAAATTTTGAGCACCTCATCTCTTGCACCTTTACTAAAGATAAATAGGATTTGCCATATTATGGGAGAGTTTAAGATTTCATACGAATGATTTCAGTTCGGTTACATTGGTAAAGACTTCTGTGTATTGTGGCTGGAAACTTTTTTTAAATTCTTAGTTAAAATTGAGAGTGTACTGTCGAATGCAGCAGTGGTGACATACCAATCTATAAATATACACAGAAAACTCCCTCATCATGGTTCACAAACTGATAAGAAACCCTTGATGGGAACTGACGCTGAGAACTGAATGCTAGTGGAACAGAGTTTCTCTGGAAGGAGGAGGACGGTTTCTTTCGGTGACAGCAGTGGTCGTGGAGTAGTGGTGACTTGCTTCTTTTCTCCCATTTATATTTTTTACGCTGGGCATCAGTGTCCCAGCAAATCCAGCTTTAGACAAAAGCTCCTGATGTTGGTCTGTGATAATGAAACATTTTCTGGATGCCAGTATGGGTGAGCACACAGTCTAAAGTCTCCTCCAGTTACAGACTTTGAACTGGTTTTACTGCTGTGTATCAAGAAGGTGCGGCAGCCAAAGTCTGTCTTTACGATGCCCGAACTGGCACTTGACATGAGATTTTGTGTTGATTAGACCTTTCTGTCTTCATCTAAAGGTGCAATTAAATGTTAATGGGATGAACCTGTACATTGCGGACTAGCAAAAAAAAAAGAAAAACCCCAGAGTAATTGGCGATGATTGAATTTGCTCTCTGTAGTTTGATGTGGGTGGCAGGTACTGTCAAAATGAATGTGAGGAGGTTTTCCACAAGTAACAGCCAGTGACTTAATTATTGATGACCACTTGTTCTTTATCCATATTTTTTTTCTGTTTGTTCTTTAATCTGTTGTGTTATTGACAAGCTAATGTCTTGTATATAGCTAACACAGCACCCTTACAGCCAGAGGACGCACTTTGGCTTTGGTCAATAAGAATTCGTCTCCTTTCTAAAAAAAACAAACAAACAAAAAACCCCTTCTTACTAAAATTCAGGCAGTTCCTGTCATAGAGTTTAGGCTAAAGTACAGGAGCAAATTTATGAAGTAACTGTTTCCACATAATGACACTGGAGTTCATGTGGAGTTAACACTTCTTCCTGGACAGTTTTTACGAATGAAATTGGCTCTTTTTGTTTGACATTGAAGCTTTTTTTTTTTAAATTTGGGCAAAGCGGGATGTGTTCTTAAAACAACTGGAGCTTCAAAGAAAGTCACTTCTTCAATTTACCAAAGTTGATTGTGTCAGTTAGCTGGCCCCATCTTGTGGCCAAAGCAAAAGAATCAAAAGCACATCACTTAGCAGCTGAGGATTGTAACATTCAGTTTTGTTTAGCGTGATGTTCAAACTATTTTATCAGCCAAATGACAGAAAAAATAAAATAAAATACACATCGATTTAAAAAGACAGTCCCCTCTCTCAAAAAAAAAAACATTACAATTGAATAACAAACTAAATGTGTGTACTTCTAGCCGTTGACCTCAGCCTTGAAGTTACATCCTTGTTGTAATTGTGTTCTCCAAGGTAAATGTGTCACTGGAATATTCTTCCTCCTCTCTTTTGTCATTTGGGACTGTGGAATAAAACCAGTGCGAGAAGACTGAAGATTGTAATATAAATGTGCCAACAAATAAACACCAGTATTTCACATTCAGGTCAGTGTCTTTGTGTTCGTATCAGACACCTGGGCAGCTGTGGCTCAGGTGGTACAACAGTTGTCCTCTTGGATGGTAAGGTTGGTTCGATCCCCGACCTCTCCACAGTCAAAGTGTCCGTGGGACACTGAACCCGAAGTTGCTCCCAACGGCAGGCAGCGCCTTGCATGGCAGCTCTGTTGCCATTGGTGTGTGAATGTGTGTGTGTGAATGGGTGAATGAGAAAACACTGTAAAGCGCTTTGAGTGCCGCTAAGGTAGAAAAGCAGTCCATTACCATTTACACCAATTTGTTCTGTTTGTGTGTTCAGTACTCCATTACAAAACACTACATAACTAATTTTAGATTTATCGATTTATTGAAAACCTGTATCACCCCTGTGAAAAAGTAATTGCCCCCCTAAACCATAACTGCTTAGATCACCCTTAGTTAAACGTTTGCACCATTGAAGAATTTTGGCCCACTCTTCTCTGCAGAATAGTTCTAATTCGGCCACATTAGAGGATTTTCGAACATGAACTGCTCTTTTAGCGTTCAGCCACAGCGTCTCAATTAGATTCAAGTCTGCATTTTGACTCGGCCACTCAAAAACCTTACTTTTGTTTTTGTTTTTTTGAGCCATTCAGAGGTGGACTGGCTTGTGTGCTTTAGGTCATTGTCATGCTGCATTTCCCATATATATAATCATAAAAACTATTTGCTACAGTTTGTCCTTATGCATATTTAAATAAACAAATAACCCTAATTTGGAGTGTGCTGATGAAGGTGTATTGTTCTTTTGCAATGCACCACTCAAATGGACTGGACAAACTGCTCATAGCTGGAAAAAAAATGTAACTGAATACTGGTGAAACATGGCAGGAAACAAACTAAAGTGGCAAATATTGTTTATTAAGTCTAATTGGCAGGTGAATTCTAAGGTTGTGTTTTGATTGATACCTGTTGGTGCAATTATTATTCTGTCAGTGTAAACCAGTTGTTTTTTCTTTGACACAAACTGCAGAACAGCCTGCTGTCAGGATTAGTACACAGAAACATCAGGTCTTGCTAAAATAGGAAAAGCTCAGATGTAAATAGTATCATTGGCTTCTTCTTATTAAGTGTTGCAGTAAACCACGTGAGTAAGAAAGCACAATAGCTATGGAAGTGGCTCATCTAAATGGCTGCCATTGCTCCGTTTATTAATTACCTGCTTTAGCAAGTCAAACTGTCAGCAGTGAGAAAGGTCAGCAAGCGTGCAATATGAGTTAGACATTTCCTTTGAGACAGTAGACCACACAGACTTCTTAATTATACTTTTCCCAGCTAAGCCTGTTAATAAGTATGTAGCATGGAATTGGGACACAGCTGATGGGCCTAATTTCACATGAAAACCACTTGCAAGAATGGCGTGTCCACACAAAATCTACAGACCTCCAGTAAAAGCTCCTCCTTGTGCCTCTAAGGTATGTTTCACATTATCCTGACACCAAGTTATTGTTTTCTCTTGCTGGCTTTTGCTTTCTCTGCTTTACTAAACCTCTGCTCAGGTTGACGATGGGCAGACGTCACCAGAAACACCTTCATAATAAGTGGTTCTAGTATGATTTTCCTCACGTGGACTGGCGTAACCATATTCCACAGGCCAGTCGATAGTGACGACAGCGACAAGAGCTGTTCTTAAATAAGAAATAAATGCAGAATTTAATTTAGCTGCTTCCATTTCAGGGTCATGACACATTCATTGTGCTCCAGTCACCACAATTTACACACTAGCTTTTCTCATGTGACATACCTACAAGCCTACTGGGCTTCCTTTAAAATGCAGCGAGTTCATGATTACATCACTTTGTGTGGTGACAATGTGTGAATACAATCAATTGTTCTCCCTTGATCAAAAGACTCAAGTATTTTTAACACCAAGTCTCACAAACTTGAACCTCTTTCAGGTCTTCATCTGTGCACTTCAACTTTATTTTGTAAATCTAAACCTGTTAACAAACTTCCCTCTGCTCAGCATAAAAAGAATTATGCAAAAAACACAGACACAGGTTGTATTTTGATTTTCTTTATTGTACAGAAAGAGACAGTGAAATCTACTGAGGCTGCTGTCCTCTGCCGCGTCCGAAGCCACCCCTCTGCAACACAAAGGTTTCGTCAGTCCATCGGTCAACGTAGAGCTCAACAAAAGAACAAACTTTTAAAGCTGCACCACACAAACTAAATTTAGCTTCCTGACATTCCTGATGGAAACCCGTGTATATAACCGCACCCTCAACCTAACAATGTTGCAGCAAGGACTGTTTTTAATTAACTGCTCTAGAAAACATTCCTCATTTGCTATAACTGAGAACAAGAAAACCTAGAAATTGCTTTTGTGGCCGCTGCATTTTGCAAAAACACACACATAAAACAAAAGGAAAAGCACTTACGAACTGGAACTCCGTGGCAGCTCCAGCACCAGCCTCTGCTTTCTTGTCAGCACCAGCTGAAGGAGAAGTTATGAATAAACAAGTCAGTCAATCATTTTCATATATTTGTCTTCCATTATATTACTAGTTTACAATACAAAAACACAACATCATTTTCTTTATTCAAATATCAGAATGGCAATAAGCTGACTGTAAGTACATACATTTTAAAGATATTCAGTTCATGTTTCTAGCAGTAAACTGGACCATTTAAGAACCAAAAAGCTGAGAATATGTTGCATTTTCCACTACTGTTGCTGAAACCATTTAAAGCTCCAATTAAAACTTTAGTTTACACTGCAGAATTTCCTCTGGAATATACATATTTGTATTACTGACATGTTTTCTTGGCCCGGGCTCCAATCACTGCACTTTCCCATTTTGTTTTCCAGAATGAACTGTCGCTACTTCACAGAGAATTTTTAATGCATTATACCATCTTAAAAATTAACCTAATGAGCTGGAGTCACCGTTTCTATCTGCCTCATTTAATGCCTTCATGCAGCTCATTAAACTTAACAGCGCCAAGATCACATAAGCAACTCAGCCAATAATGTGAGCGGAATAGTTAGTGCTATACATACGGGGTGCAGCAGATCGCCTGTATGCATCTCTGTCTGCCTCTCCACGGGTAAGGCGGGCGGGCCTCTCTCCTTCCATTCCTGCAGAGAACAAGACAAAACATTCAGTTCACGTTCTACTACAGTTGTTTTGCTTTAGAAAAGGATTAAATAAGAAGAAATCCAATATGCTTTAAAGTCAACGTTGTTCAGCTTTAATGCTACGAGTTATCGCTGAATACAGTATGCTAGAAAAGCTGTAAGTGTTTATAAAGCTTTGGCCTCAGGGGCTCCTGTTTGAGATTATTCATGGCAAACAAAGAAATGTGCACCCTTTAAGAAAAAAAAAACATTATCCAAATATGCACTGCTGTAGCAGACAATCATTTTATCTCGCTGGTAACTGTAGCACAGCATTGTCTGTGGGGTGGAGATGGAGATCCCTGTTTGTTAACAGAGCATAGAATGATATTCATTATCAGCAGTGTTAAATGGACCCACAGCTAAGCTTAACTTTAAAACTCAGAAGTCCAGTGAACAATCTCAAACATCTCTGTGCACAAGGAAGGTAGAAATGTGGTGAGAGGCATATATAGAATGTTTCCTTCTGCAACCCAGATAGCTGGACAACTAAAAAAAACATACATAACAGGTTTTACTAGAGGCTGGATTTGCAAATTATTAGTATTTTTTATAACTACACTGGAGTTAATGATTATCTTGAACAACTAAAACTAAATGTTGCAACACTGAGCCACAGCTGCAGCCTTTTTACTCCATCATGTTAAGCTCTTTGGAATGCTTCCACTCAGCAACTTCACATCAACAGCAAATGGCTTTTGTTCCTCTGATGCCACAATTTACAGTCCACAGTTAATCTGTTGTCATTTGAAAGCTAATATCTATAGACACATTAACACATTCGTATACTAGTGCCACTTCCGTAAGAGTAACAACTGGGCAGCAGTTCAGGCATTTCAGCTGCTGGTATTCTGCATATTGTGGCACTGGCTCAAGGAAAAAGCATTAAAAATTCTTGCTAAAACACATTTTGAGTGTCTTACCCTTGGGCCTGGGCCTTCCGGTCTCAGGGCGGGTCTGGCGGCGCAGGGTGGCGGGCACAATCTCAGGGGGAAGGTGGAGGAAGTCTCTCAGGTACTGGATACCCTCATTGGTGAGGTACCAGTAAAAATGACGCCAGGCAAATTGCTCCTTGACATACCCACAGGACTTCAGAGACTGAAAGAAAAGGACACACACCGTCACTTCACACGCCAAGTACTGTGATAGATCAGTACAAAATCCACTTGATGTCAGTAGATACCACATACTAAGTATCCTTTAAGGCTTTTCTTTAAAAAAAAAAAAAAAACATTTGTCACGTCCTGATTTAAATCCAGAAAACATAACCTCTCTCTCTGATGTGCAAAGCAAGACAATTGAATTCACATGGCAGGTAAGAATATAAAGGGATGACAGCAAAGCAAAGTATCCCAGTGGAAACAAGTTTTAACAGTAGAATTAACATGAGGATTTTATTTTTCAAACTTGTGTCATTTTAGGTTTTGTTGTGCAAATGTAAAGAGTTTAAGTTTGCCAGTGTGCTTAAATTAGTCCACTAAAGAAGTTGCTCTCCACATTTTTTGCTGGGGCACTTCATCATGCCCTGTTCAAATCAAATCAAATCGAAAGGGTAACAGCGATGGAAAACAATTCCCCAACTCGTAAAGTACAAGTGTTCTTATCCTGAGCCAACTGAAAGTGACTGTATGAATACAGCCTTACTTACATTTCACATGCATCGTATTTACTATGTCAGACTATATCCATTACATTACCACTGATTTACCTTGGAGGATGGTATATGCAAGAGGTCTGTACTTCATCACATCAAAGGATAAAAACTTAAATCAGCTCAGCACTAGAATCTCATAACCTCCACATGTCAACAGTAATCATATTTTGTGCTGGTCTGTCACAGGTAAGAGA